GAATATGGAATAAGCGCTTTTATTGTTAAGTAGGAGAACAGAACCCCAAAACGTCCACCCAGCGATTTTTAACAGGGCTTTCCATCGGCTGAGTGGAAAGAGTGGAGGGGCCTCAAAGCCGAAACTCCCAAGATGATCCATCTCAGTTAAAAATAATGAACAGAGAAATCACTATCGTTCAGATGTCATTTCTTTGGAGAAAGCCAATATCAGTGAGTATAGCGGACAGCCAGATGATAAAAAGAAAGCTCTTTTCTGCCGAGTCATGCTGTAAAATTGATGGTCCACACATCGACATCCTGTACGATCAGACAGCTGAAGATTTGAATTTGGGCACTGCATTTAACAAGTTACATAAACAATTTGGTAATCTGCATCCAAATATCATCTGAAAATTCGTCCGGACAAGACTACGCCTTCTTCAGAGTATGTTCCATAAACTAGATGAGCTAAAAGTGCAGATATCAAAAATACGGCTGAATATCCCTTTCACTACAGGGACTTGGTGACAGACTGAGGTGTGTAATGAAGAAATTGTTCCCGATGAATGCTAACTCATTCATCAAGAACGGCTGCATAAAATAGGAGGACAAGTGGTTAAGGGAAACATTATGACATCATAACACAAAACTGTTTTCTGTTTTGACTGCTAAGTAACGTGGTCAAACTCGAAATAGACGGTGCATCAAATCTTAATTTCCTGACCGTATGCAAACAACTCAATGCAACAACAGATGCTAGTTAGGCCGATGCTGGATTAATTAAAAACGTGAACCAGAACTAAGGCGCATTAATCGCTGGAGATTTAGACACACCGATTATTGACAAGAATATTTTATCAGGAAACGGATCGCGTAATTTCGAAGATTAAAAACAATTAAAACTGTAAAATAATATCATACTTGTACAGAAAGTCTCGTTTCCAATTAAATCAAAACAGGCCAATACAAAAGCTCAAGTTAATGCTGGCAAACCTAGGTCTATAGCACTACTTGATAAAAGCGACTATGTCATGCTGTCGCGGGGAATACTGCTTGTAAACCCAGCAAATAGAGATGACTGAAGTTGAGCTGAATTTCCGGTGAGGAAATTTTTCTGACGCGAGAAGTGCCGCATGCGTCGATGCTTCCGCCACATCCCTTGTCGCACTTCGGCTTATCAGAATTCCATACTGTCATTTCTAGCCGGGTATCGCACCTGTAAAGATGCTGAAAACAAAAGCTAAAACTTGATCTTGCACCTTAAAGTCCTTTTTTTCTTCATATATAATTATGTACACCTGTCCAATACCTGTTAATCTCTATGGTAATCACTGTGTACTGGAGAACCGTTTTTGCTGAAAGTTTTGAATGTTATTTTCAAAATAAAGCATTCCTCTCTCTCTCTTATCGTCACTAGATTGGCAGGATGTTCTTGTCGGATGTCGATTTAAAATTGTTAAATTAGCTATAAGCATCGTTATGCATGGAAACTGTCCGAAAAAAATTTCAAAAGGCAAATTATCTTGTTCGGTTGGTGCGAGCTCTTAAGATAGAGACAAGCAGAAAGAACAGGAGTCAGAGAAGGTGTTTAGTCACAAAAGAACTCTTCGGTACAACCAGTTTTGCGAAAGCGGACGGAGATGTACTTGCACGTCCCTGGATCACGGAACGAGTACGCAACGCGAATTACGGAACGGGTCGTTGATAAACCAAAAGTACTCTTAGCTATATTAACAGAAAATTAAGGAACAGCGAGACGGCTGCTGTGCTGAAAAGAGATAGTACTGAAAACCATGCCGAAAATGTCGATAAGACAGAACGCCTTAGCCACTTTTCTCGTTTATGTTCACTGATGAAGCCGGCTTTGGCTAGATTACCCATCCTTCTGGAACAAAGAAGCAGCAGTGAGAAGCAATAATTTTGCATAAAAAGATGCGAGGAAGGAGCTTCTCGCGGTTAAGGAATGCGAGTCTCCGGCTCCTGACAAAATAACAAGAAAAGTTCTGAAGGAGCTTGCATACGAATATTCCGACCCATTTCGCATATTTTCCAGTAGTCCTTCGATCGAGGCACTCTTTTCTCTGATTCACGGAAGTGGAGCCAGAGGAATTGCTGACAACTATCAGCCAGCAAACCTACCCCGCATATGCTACACACATATAGAGAGGATCGTCGAGACTACAATGAAGTTTCCCGAGGAAAAGTTTCTTAATCAATGCTAAACGCGACTTTAGACGAAACCACCCCTGCCTAAATAACGTGCTATATTTAATAGAGTAGTGATCCTCCTCAATTAATGAGAGCACAAGAATTGACATCGTTTACATTCATTGATGTTTTGGCAGATTTTCAATAATACACAGTAGCCAAAATATGAACAAAAGCCTTCTCCTTATAACATGGGTTTGAATAACACCGAGGCTCCGCGTTTTTCACAGTTGGGTCAATATGCATCTACCAAAAATGGCCCACTTGGCACTCGCACATTCAGCTCCCGACTCCTACAAAGCGAGCCGGGCATCTCACCCATTTAAAATTTGAAAATATGTTGAGCTCGTTTCGAACGCAGTACCTCTAATCATTCGTTCTATCGGATAAAACTGATCATGCGAATGAGTGCCAGCTATCCTGAGGGAAACGTCGGAGGGAACCAGCTACTAGATGGTTCGATTTGTCCTTAACCCCTATACTCGCTTTTGACGATCGATTTTCACGTCAGAATCGCTGCGGTCCTCCACCAGAGTTTCCTCTGGCTTCAATCTACGCAAGCATAGTTCACCATCTTTCGGGTATTATCGTGCACGCTCCTGCTCCGCCCCGATGAGGCGCCGGCTCCAACACAGACCGCAAAAAGATTCACGCCTTTCAAACGACAACATCATGGGACGGGCCGGTGATGCGGCCACTGGTCTTTTACCTGGTGCTGCAGACCCACACACACGACAGTTCGACCGTCGAGTTCGACGATGTTCACCGTGTGCCCCACAGCTGCAGCAGCCATGGGAGCAGGGACGGTGACTTGCGCAGGGGTTTATAGTGCCAGTAGACTTGCGCTGCCACTACCTACACTCTCTCCTCCTCCCCCGCCTGAGCCCGGTGTGAAGACAGAGTCAAGAATACTGGAGACGAGGGTGGCCGCAGGTGGATGGCTCGGACGGATCCTCACCTAGGTGTTCCACCACACCCCCTGGTCCACACAACGAATAACCAGGATTTTCACCAACACAACAGAGATTTGGAGGCTGACACGACCGAAGCCGAACCTAGGCGTGCCGCCAACGCCTGGCTTGGATCACACACTGTGGTGGAAGTGCCATACGACCACATTAAAAAGGAGCCATTGCAGCCTGACTCTCAGACCGCCTACAGTCAAGGGGGAGGTCCAAGTTACCTCGTCAGTTGGCAACCTTCCAAGCCACGGCTTTTAGCGAACCGTGATCGTTTCAAGCGCGTCAGATTGATTATAGGGAAGAAAGTGCTCTGAGTCGTCGAACTCACTCTCCCTTTCCATTCCCACACCCCAGCCGCCGTCCGAGCCGGTCGGCAATCTGGAGTGGGGAATGGACGCGGTGGCTGACACGGCCGACTGACCATGCCTGCGCGCGCCACAGCACGACCTGGCCCCCCATACACACACAAACACAAGGATTTCAAACGACGGTGGTTGAAGGGCGTGTCTCTCACTAGCGTGAGAGTGCCGTGGAGGGTGCTGCTTTAGCCCGTCCCTAGTCCACCAGTCCGCCACTCCACACAACACACACAGCGCGACGAACTGCGTGAAACGAGAGCGGGCATCAATCAGCAACTTTCCTATCCACGACGCATGACGTGTCGGGATAGTCAAAGATTCAAATCACCCGTGCAGCCGAAACCGCAAGGGGACCGAGTCGAGGTGCACACTTCCCACTTGCGTGGGAGATGGCAGTTGGGTGCTTGCGGTGGGTGCGTGTTGATGTGTGGTGGTAATGGTGGAGGAGGGTAGGTATTGTGTGGATGATTGGATGAGAGGTGAAACCGGCGTTTGTATACCACAGGTGGTCGTGGATGCGCATGTGACCGAATAGGCCCATGCGATGCCTGAAAGTGCGTGGGAAGTGTGGGCAGTTGAGCCGAGCTTGGTTGGTATATGTTGGTGCCCCGGCACTGGTCCTCCAGTCTCTGCGCGATGTATTCGCAAGTGACCGACCAGGCCTGTGCGTGAGGTGAACGTGCATGGGCAGTGTGTGCAGGAGAAGTCGGCGTTGTCGGTGTCAGCTGCAGAGGAGGTGGTGGTGATGGTGATGAGCGCGCAGAGCGATGGAGCGTGGGTGGGGCTGGGCATGGTGGATGGGTTGGACGTGGTTGGTGTGTCGGAATTGTAATCAATTCCGCTCTCGTGAATGCGCATGTGGCCGAATAGACCCATGGGATGCGTGAAGGTGCGAGGACAGTGTTGGCAGTGGAGGCGAGTGCGGTTGGTGCAGGTTAGTGCCCCAGGCACCGGTTCGCCAGTCTCTGTGCGATGGATTCGCGAGTGACCGACCAGGCCGATATGTGAGGTGAAGGTGCGGGCGCAGTGAGGGTAGGTGCAGTCCTAATCGTTATCGCTGGAGTCGAAGGTAGAAGGGGTGGTGTCGGAGGCTTTGCAAGGTTTGTTGATGTGCCAGATAATAGCCTGAGCGGCCGTCGATGGAGCAGGGGAGGAGGAGGAGGTTGGAAGTGCTGGATCAGAAGAAATGTCAGAGGAAGTTGGCCGCAGAGAGGACGAGGAACGGGAGGGGGCGGGGGGACGATGGTTGGTGCAATACGGGGAGTGCAATTAATCCGTAGATGTCCAACAAGACCCATTCGAGCCCGGAATGTCCGTTGACATCGAGGACACGTTGGTAGCGGTTGTGCGTCGGCGATGAGTTCTGGGCGAAATCGTGATTTGCGAGCTTCGCGTTTCGCTTTGGCGGTGGCGATGCGGTTGGCTTCGTGGATAACAGCGCCCGTCTTCACTGTTCTCCTCCGTATTGGACGATCGTGGGTGAGCTCTTCTCAATTGGTGGGGTTGATTTGCAGACGCTTCAGGGAGGACTTAAGAATGTTTTTGTATCGACGAATTTGACCTCCTTGGCGGCGAGAACCCGTCGCGACGTCTCCGTTGACGAGTCGTTTGGGTAGCCGCTCGTCGTCCATGCGCACTAGGTGGCCGCTCCAGCGCAGCTGCATTTGTCTCAACATGGAGTAGATGCTGAGGATTCCCGTTCGTTCCAGCACATCAGTGTCGGGAATGCGATCCTGCCAGTTCAGCCTCAGGATGCGACTGAGACAACTGAGGTGGAAGTGGTTCAGTCGGCGTGCCTGCTTTGTGTACACCGTCCATGTCTCCGCTTCGTACAGTAGCGTCGGCAGGATGACGGCCTTGTACATCTTCAGCTTCGTGCTCAGTTGAAGAACTTGACGATTCCAAACTATGCATTGGAGGCAACTGAAGGCTTGACTGGCTTTCGAGATCCTGTTGGCGACTTCGCCATCGATCTTGGTGTCGCGGGAGAGAGTACTACCCAGGTACGGGAAGTACTCCACCGCTTGCAGTTGGGTTCCGTTCACGCTGATTTGCGGTGGCGCGTTGAGGGCTGTGGCTGAGTTGGGTGGCGGTTGGTGCATTATCACCGTCTTCTGCGTGTTAATGACCAGACCGAAGTTCTCGCAGGCGGCGGAGGATAGGTCCATGCTCCGTTGCATCTCCTCCTCCGAGGTGGTGTTCAGGGCGCAGTCGTCGGCGAAGAGGAGTTCGTGAACGGTGGTTGTGGATACGCGCGATTGGAAGTTCATCCGCCGTTGATTCAGGAGATGACCGTCCGTCCTGTAGGCGATGCGGATGCCGGGGCGTTCGTCGCGGTAGGCGTCCATCAACATGACAGAGAACATAAGACTGAAGAGGGTTGGGGCCAGCACGCATCCCTGCTTCACTCCGTTGGTCACTGCGAATGCCTCTGAGACAGCTCCTTTGTCCGTGACTTGCACCATCATCCCGTCTTGCAGCTGACGCACCATCTGAGTGAATCGCTCCAGACAGCCGAATTTCTGCATGATCTTCCACAGTCCTTCACGATTCACCGTGTCGAAGGCTTTCGTCAGGTCCACGAAGGTAGAGTACATGTGGGTCCGCATCTCCTGGCACTTCTCCTGAAGTTGCCGGGCGACGAAGATCATATCCATGGTTCCAAGATGACGGCGGAAGCCGCATTGGCTTTCCGGCAGAAGGCCCTGTTGCAGACGGTTATTGAGGCGATTGAGGAGGATGCGAGCGAAGTTCTTCCCGGCGATGCTCAGCAAGGAGATGCCACGGTGATTGTCTCAGACTTGGCGATTCCCTCTTCGCTTGCATAGGTGCACGATGGTTGCGTCTTTGAAATCTTGCGGAACTTCACTTTGACGCCGCATCTCCTGGAAGAGCGCAGTCAGGTGATACATGAGTTGGGGACCTCCGTGCTTGTACACCTCAGCAGGGATTGCGTCCGATCCGGGTGCTTTCCCGCTGGACAGCTGTTTCACGGTCCTGATGGTCTCCTAGAGAGATAGCGGGAGGTCGAGGTCCACGTTGGTGTCAACTTGCGGCAAGCGTGCGATGGCGGCGTCGGGGATGGCGGAGGGGCGATTGAGGACGCCTCGGAAATGCTCGGCCCATCGCTGTAGTATTTGTATCTTCTCAGTCAGGAAAGTGATACCGTCGGCGCTGTGGAGAGGAGCAGTGCCCTTCATCGGCGGACCGTAGACAGCTTTGATCGCAGAGAAGAAGTTCTTCCATTCGTTGCGGTCCGCTTACCCTTGGATCTCCTCAGCTTTACGAGCAGTCCAGACGTCCTGCATCTCGCGCAGTCGTTGCTGAAGTTGGCGGCGACTGCGGTAGAAGGCAGCTTTGGTGGCATCAGTGGGGTGATCTACGTAGGCTTTGAGTAGGCAGTTCTTCTCAGCAAGCAGATTTCTGATGGTGGTATCACTGTCGTCGAACCAGTCCTGCTGTTGGCGGCGTGCTCGACCAAGGACGGCTAGCGCCGTCGACTGGACCGTGTCTCGCAGTTGACACCAGCGGTTCTCCACGGAGATGTTCTCGGCAAAAGCGGGGGCGTCGGCGGCGGCAGCGAAAGGAAGGTTGCCTAGCCGTTGAGCTAGCTCATTGCTGAAATGAAGATGGTGAGCGGGCAAAGACAATAAAGCAACATTCAGCTTACCTGGGGGTAACTTACCTTGTGGTCTCCTGCGAGGCTGTAGGCGAATACGCATCTTCGAGATGACGATGCGATGGTCGGTCCACCCGTCAGCACCCGCGATCGCCTTCGTCACCAGCACGTCCCGCTTATCTCGCCTCCGGACGAGGACGTAGTCCTGCGGGTGCCACTGACGTGACCGTGGTTGCCGCCAGGTGGCCTTCTCTCGCTCCGGCAGACAAAAGAACGTGTTCGTCAGGATGAGGCGGCGTTCTGCGCAGGTGCGCAGCAGCAGCAGACCATTGTCGTTGGAACCGTGGGGACCGTGGGGACCCAGCACTCCTCTCCAGGCAGCATGGTCTGTGCCGACGGGGGCGTTGAAGTCACCAAGGACAATCAACTTGTCCGCCTTCGACACAGTCGCCAAGAGGGCGTGCAGGTCCTCGTAGAATTTGTCTCTTGCGGCAGCGTCGGGGCAGCTCATCGGCGAAGCGTAGACGCTGATGATGGTGGCGATTTTGACCCCCCCCCCGCTGGAGAGGCAGACGGAGGCTCATCAGGCGATCGTTGATGCCCTGCGGCAAACATGGCAGTCGTCCCACGATGTCGTTCCGGATGGTGAAGGCGACACCCGCGTCTCGTCGCTCTGCCCTGGGCCGACCACTCCAGAAGAAGGTGCAGCCGGGATCCACCTCCTCCAGTTGGCCTTGTTCGGAGAATCGGGTCTCGCTGAGTGCGGCGATGTCCACCTTGTAGCGCGCCAGTTCTCGTGCAACTAGAGCCGTCCTCCGCTCCGGTCGGTTGCTCCTCGGATTGTCTAAAAGGGAACGAACATTCCAGGCTGCCAGTGTGATCGGGATCACCATGCCAGTCTGGCGACTGCGGCGGCAAAAAGCAGGAGAAGGATAAGAAGAAGAATAGGCTGGAAGAGGAAGAGATTGATTGTTGTTGTTGTTTCGGTTTTGGTTGTTTCGACCGTGTGCCTTTTGTCTGCGGCCACGGCCAGCCTACAGACAGCGTGGTTCGCAGCATTTTTAGGGCATCTTTACTAGCCCCCTCCCCCTCGCGTGGGCAGGCAGCGCATCCCCTAAATAGGGCTCCCCGGTTATCTCAAACGGCTGCCGGACTCCACTATGGGCGACGACATTTTTTTATTGAGAGAACGACTCGAATTAGCCTGGGACCTTGGTGGTGATGTGATGGAGTGAAGTAGGAGAGAGCATACACACAACCAAGCGCTATAGAACTTACAGCTAGCTAGAGTGGGCAAACAGACACAGTTATCAGTCAGAGACAGAAGTGAGAGGGCACCATTCAAGTGTCAAGCACCGTAGCACCTAGCTATTAACAGAGAGAGGCATAGGTTGACAGACAGACAGTCGCAACAGGCTTTAAGAGGTTCATCTGGCTATTAACAGACAGACTAACATATAGAGGGCAGACAGCAAGAGCAGCACACGACACGGAACTTCAACAGACAAAAGGAAGAAATAAAGCAAATTCACTTACCTGAAGAAGAACCTACCTGGTGGCCTCCTGCGATGGTCCAGGCATAGCCTCGTCTCGACGATGGCGACGCGAAGATCCATCCGGCCAGCGGGGACCACAGTACCGCGTGTGCAGGTGCACGCATGGATACCCTCACCTGGTATTTCCCGCCGGTTGGGGCGCTTGCCCGGGGTGTGGCCACTGAGCAGAGCCCAGCTACGTGGAGCCACAGGTGAGCGTTAGGTGCCAGCAATTGGACGCTAGGCGTAGCCTCACCTGCAAGCATGCGAGCGACCACTACGACCATCACGTGAACCCACGGCTGACACCCCTATACCCCACGTACACACACATACACACACAGAGCCAGCGATCCAGCTTGCGGTGACGGACCGGTGTAGGTCCGACGCTCCAGCGCCATCCATTTTCAGCGTTGATCGATTCGGCAGGTGAGTTGTTACACATTCCTTAGCGGATGCTGACTTCCATGTCCATCGTCCTGCTGTCTGTATTAACCAACACCTTTTGTGGTATCTCATGAGCGTCAGCGTTAGGCACCTTAACCGAGGGTTTGGTTCATCACACAGCGCCAATTCTGCTTACCAAAAATGGCCCAGTTGACACTCGCGCATTCAGCGCCCGACTCCTACAAAGCGAGCCGGGCATCTGCCCCATTTAAATTTAGAGAATTCACGACATTTACGTGCAGACCGTACTAAATGTATTCGAGCAATCAAATAAGAAGCAACAATCTCCCTCCTCACTCCTCCGCCCCAACCCACAGGCTGTTAGCTTGAGTCCACTCACTCTGGCAGCCTAGAATATTGGCTTAAAATCTGACGCGCCACAAGGTGGACATTTCTGCACTCAGCGAAACCCCATCTCCCAAACAACGCCAACTGGAGAACATGGGTGCCGCCTAGACTTCCTGGAACTACCACTCACAGGCAGATCAACACGACGCTGGTTGACACTCAACTCTCACTTGTGGATCCTCGAAGCTAGGCTCTGCCTAGCGGACACAACCCGTTAACCGCCTCGATCTACAGGGTTAAACCCGTTGAGGGTACCTAGGCGTGTCCTCACCTAATAATTCTGCTCCCCCACCTCTCGATACATCCTGTTCACGCAGCGCCGGGGAAGATCTTTGCTTGCATCCTCCTAAAAACGGACATGCATCGTATAGAGTGGAGCGCAGCATGCACGGCATGTCTTCGGGATGGGTTGGAATGTACGGTCTTATTACATGGACTTATCAGCAGATACTGCTGTGGATCGAAAAACAGCACTAAAAGCCACATTAAAGAGATGTAGTCCGCAAGCGAACATTGTGGTATACGTCTCTGGGAGGAAACTGGAGCAACGAATATGTACAAGGCGCAGAGAAATAGGGTAAGGCGTCTGCTTGCAAAAGCTGCCAAGACTTCGAAGTCAAGCGTATAAACTCTGCAAGAGGAAACACAAAGCTTTGAACTCGCGAGAAGAGTTCTTTTCCTTTGTTAAAAACGAATGATTGAGTTATATTCTGCAAGGACGAATAAGACTGAGGATCTAAGTTGTTCTAGCCGGTTTTTACTAACCTCTCAGAAATGCAAAGGATGGGGAGTTCCAAAAATTGACTCTGGAGCTCTCAAACGCGATTTTTCTACGAGAACTACAAAATCAGAAAGAACCGACGTCGTCAGGTGCCGATGACATATGAGTGAAATTTTTGTAAATAGCCATAGAACTGGCAGAACAGGCATGTCTCCTTATCCATGACCTCCCTGAATGCAGGCAGATTGCCACCTGAGTGGAAGACTACGTAAATTTCTCCGATATATGGAATTGGCAGTCGCGGTTCCGCAAACAACGACCGGCCGGCAAGTCTCTCCGCGATATGTTCCAAGATTGTGAAGCGAATTATAAGAAGCGAACTAATGAAGTTTTTAGAGCAGCATCATCTTCGGTCTGACGTTCAGCATGGATTCCGCAGAGGAATGTGTGCTTAACGGTTTCTCTCTACTGTCTAGGACGCTGAACCCGAGCGATTGATGCAGGAAATTTGGTGCGAATTGCCTACATAGGCTTCAAGGACTTGGATATTGTGTCATACAAACATATATAATACAAACTGGACGGCATGGGGGTAGGAGATAAGCTTGCAAAGTGGATCGAAGACTTCTTGATTGGTCGATCGTTGAATGTTCGTCTTGGCAACCTGAAATGGGCAGGGGTGGCCGTCGAGAGTGGAGCTTCTTAGGGCTGCGTTCTTAGTCCTAGCTCTCTTCCCACATAGTCTGACGACTGCATCCGTGGGTTGAACTGTGACATCATAGTTCGCTGGTGAGAAAGCTGCCCATAACAAGGACGATGAAGGAAATCTACTAACTTTAGTCGACTCGAGCAGTGGCCAGGTCACTAGCTCCTGCCGTTCAGCGTTACTAAATGCAGCATTCTGCGGTTGAACAGAACCAACACTACGCGCCCAAGGATGTGCTATTGAAATTACACCTCTACCAGAGGTAAAGATTGAGAAGGATCCAGTGGTGTAAATCACGACCTCACCGAAGGCATCGCTCCGCTACCCGAAAGAAACCAAAATCGTCACAAGCTTTTATTTCATCCGACGAGCTCTTACAAACTTCGACGAAGTCTGTTCCGGAGAGGCCTTCGGGACGTTCGTGTGATTACAGAACTTGCCATTCCGGCCTGGAGATCATGGGCCGTCAAAGACAGCAACAGCCTTGAAAAAGACCAACGGCGGACAACCAAGCTCGTCCTAAGCCAAAACTATCCGCCTTATGATGCTCGACCGTCCAATCTTGATCTCTTTCCACTGGACTACAGGCAGCTACGTGATCACCTAATCCAAGAACGGATCACGATTGTTCTACTGCATTCGGTGATTCCAGAGCTGGCCAGCACTATTAGCACTGGAGGACATTCACTAAAATAATGTGTGAGTGGCGCAAAGCTGGACGCAAGGACGTTGTTCTTCAGCCTCAAATGAAGACTTGGAAAGCTCTGCCTGTGGACGTCATGTCTCCGTTCATGGACACACTCAAAAGGAAGCTTGATCATATGCCACCACGCCATCGGAAAGTATGAATTTTCGTGTCTCGTGACACTCTTCGAGTAATACTTTACCACATATACCACTGCTACTACGTATGTTTCAGTACCAAAATTTTATGTTTCTAATTAAGACTGAATTGTTGGTATCTGTACTACTCGGACTAATCCAGTAACAAGTCTGGACAATTTTTAAAATCCCGATACCAGGCGTACATTTACACGTACAAGTAGCTACCAGATAGTTGCGTGCTTATTGCATGTACTCATTTAGGCGGTCTTAACTTCAACTTCCTTTAGGCAGTGGCATTTCTTGCGATGTTATTGTAACTCAAAGGGGTTTCAAAGACGTTCGCGTACCTTTGACTTAATAGAATTGGACTTAGGTGGACTGAGCGATGTTTCACGAATGGAGACTTCGAAGTCTTTGAAACCACACTTAGAAACTCTTTGAAAATAGTAAGAAGCCCTGTCTACTGGGGAATAAAACTGAAACAAAAGGCAGTTAGCTACCATATGAGAAAAAGAACGAACAATTTTGTGTACTTTTTCTATATAATGTGTTCGAGCTGACATGGGCACTTAATCAGTGATTATCAGTGTGGCTTTTTGTACATAACCGGAAAGAAGCTGGCTCAATAGCGGAGGTGGGGACGTTACTGAAACAACTTTGGATTATGCGATGCGTTTGTTAATACTAAAACGCTTCTGAAGTGATCTTCCGGCGTCGAATACACATTTCAGGATTTCGACTGACATTGCGCGAGGTAGCAGACCCGCTGTACAGTTTGAAGTTTTTCAATTCTAGAATTAATTCGAACTCGAGCTGCCGTTGCATTTGCGTTTTGGAGGTTTCGAATCTGATAGCGTTATACTTCCCGTATAAAAATTTGCACGGACTCGCGTATATCCCACCGACCCTACCGTGACCAACTCTACGGT